TTAATCCTAGGGGTATATTAGTCCCAGGTCATACAATAATTACATATCAAGTAATTCCTTGAATATTACAGAACTTCAAGAAAATTAAATAATAGCTTTTAAGAACTGCTGGGTTGACATTCACTTACAGGTTTGTGTATGACATTCAGTGCCAGCCCCCATTGTTAATAAGTTAATGACAAACTGGTGAGAGTTCAGAGAAAAGTAATCACAGTAGTTTTGGAGGGGCTGACTGACAAGAAAGATGAAAAGAGTGATCTAAAAGGTGTCTGGGTGTAGCAAAACAAACACGATAAAAATCACACACATTTGAAGATTATAATTAAATGTTATAGATGAATAACTAATTAGGGTTGCATGAAACCAAGTGACTTGAGGAACTGGAAAACAATTAAAGACAGATAATAAAGAATAATGTCATAGAAAATGCTTTGACAATGATGTTTTGTAGTAATGGAAGCCTGCTTTTTTGGAAAATTTAAAAGCAGACAAAGTATATTTTAAAGAATACAAAGAGAAAGGAGGCAGCTAAATACAAGTTTGTACCATCCGCAATTGAATTTTTTGTTCTCTTCTGGTGTTGTGTGATTCGTTCTGACAGTACAATGGTCTGTACACAATTATAATGATTTGAAAAGTTTTGGTTTAGAAATTAAAATCTGCACCATCAAACACCAGATCTAAGTTATTGCATCACCCCAGGACTCTTTAATGCCTATTAATTGTCTTCCATTTTCTCAATTAAACATTCTTTAAATACACTACTTGAAGTGTCTTTTCCTTCATTTGACTAGCAGACTAGATTACCCATTCCATCTGATCTCTGTAAAAAGAAAATTAGAAGAAATGTGTTTACAGTGCAGTCAATTTAAATTCAATTTCCCTTGCTCTGTGCTGAAAGAATGCAAGTAACTGCATTTCCTCCAGTCTTCAAGAAAGTTTTGAAGAACATTCAGTATTTGGATTGTTCTGCCTTCATACTTGCTTTGGAACAGGAACTAGAGTACTTGTTATTGAAATCTGAAATAAAGACAATACACTCTCCAAGATCAACTCTTAAAATACAAGTAACTTTTCATCTTAGGGCAGAAGGTCAGTAACTCTATTAAAAAGAATTCTTTGCTGCCACAAGATTAACAAAATTCGCAGTGTCCTGAAAAAGACTTTCACCTATGTAAAAAAATTACCTACATCACATGAT